CTCAATTATCTTAAAAAAATGGGAATTAGTGAAATTCATGCAAGGAAATGGGAATTAGAAATGGAGATTAAAAGGCTGAAATATATTCTATACGATTTATAATAAATTTATAATATAAGAATTCTTTGTCAAAAATTAAGATCAATTGAAATTATGAATTGCAACCAGTTATATGAGAGTAAGAGAAAAAAAAATAATTCGAATATGTCAACCTAGTGAAGGAGAAAAAAATTTAAGATAAATAGTTTTGTATTTCGCAACTTCCGTCCCATTAAGTGGGATGTATAGAATAGAATATATTTCATTTGAGCATACAATTTAGCCAAGAAGGATTTTACAATTTCTATCTATCTTGATGCATATGTTCATCCATATTTCATCCTTTGAATTTTACATGGGCTAACATCTAACATTTATTATCTCTTATCTGTCATTGTTTATTACACACTTATATCTTACTTCCCACATATCTGATTTTATATCATTTAATTACATACTTTTGTTTGTTACTTTTGTCTTCTTTATCCTATTCTACATCTAATTATTTATCTAATCATCTTAAATGAGTTATGTATATTTAAGATGATTTCTGAAATTCTTCATTTGCAGTGAGTCGCTGTATAATACCACAGGCAAATCAGGAAGATTTACTTCGCTCGTTCAAGAGCTATTCCGATGTGACAATGTTTCACTTTACAGTACCGAAAGAGGTGCCTCGAGCTACATGGCAATTTGCTGCTTTTATGGATGATCCTACATGCCATACACGAAAAGTTTACATGTAATATTTTTCCTGACTTTTATTTTAAATAAACTTAAATTTATATACAAGATGTCCTACACCTAACGTAATCATCCCTTGTATATCTTTGCAGAATAAGATTGAATCAAAAATACAAATTGTATAACTTATAACAGAGCACAAAATCAGTTTTTAATTCTTTTTCATATGAAGATGTAGCCATTTTTTGAAGTGTAATTATATGTAATATTCCTCTAATTATTATGCATGTTGAAATATTAAAGTAGAGATGAGAGTAAAGAAGCAATAGTTTACGATACATTTATATGCTTTATTCTGACACATTTTAACATGTAAAATATCTCGTGAACTATTAAGTCTTTGTTAAACGTGCCTTAGTACTTTTTTTTGTACAGAATAATGAAATTAATCAATTATCAAAAAATTAATAGTTTACGAGATATTTTACATTTCATATCAAACTACCAGAGAATAAAGTACAAAATATCTCATAAATTATATGGAATTTTTATTACTTCTACCTTAATATTTTTATATGCAGACTCATTAATCGAATTATACTATGTAAAGAAATCGTACAATTCCAATTTATTAAATGGTCATAACCTTCATGTAATCATGACAAATAAATTTTTTTAATTGCTTCTTTAATTGTGTCCCACTTGTACCATATTTTTCATTTTACCTGTAAAGCTAAAAGGAGAGGTGATGTTAGATGGGATATCCATTAAAAATTATTTATTCAATAAGTGTTTTTAGAATAGCACACAATTCTACAATATGTAATGACTAACCGAATTTTCCTAATGAAAAAAATTATAAGAACAATTGGATGGATAATTATAAGTTATTAATTAATTTAAGCCATCTGTATTACCAACTAAATCGTAATTTTTGTATAACAATTACTTTTTTCCTCTTTTACATTCGAAAATTCTTTTCCAGAATTATATGCATTAATATGTGTCTGTAAGATGGAGTTTATGCCGAGAACAACAAAAAATTTCGAAATTGGAATCTTAAGAAAAATTTTTTTCCATTCTCAATATAAACTTTACCTCATAGATATATATTAATGCTGGTATATTTTAATCCTGGAAAAAGATTTACGAATCTGTAAAAGAGGAAAAAAGTAATTATTACACAAAAATTATAATATAGTCGGTAATACAGACGATCATTTTTTTCACAGATACCTAAAGTTTGGTAGTTATCCAGTAATCACTGTAAATAATGGAATATCAACAAAGTCAACCAAATATGATTACGATATCGTAGTCACTACTACTACAACTTATCAGTCGAAAAATGTAACTGTTGTTCCAGTATATGAGCCACAACCTGGAGATTGGTTCGTAGCAGCTTATATGTCTTATTGGGATGAGAAAGTTCAACAGCAGGTATATCAATCAGCTATTTTAGTTGTATGAATAATTAGTATCACTTTTTTATAAATACGTTATTATAAATATTTTAATTTACGAAAAACATATATAATCTATTTTATTTCTCTTGAAACTTTTTTTTTTAGGGCCTAGGACACAAATGTCAATATAGCATAGGTGCAATAGCTCTATGGTCGCAAATAGATAATATTATAAATATTCCTATTAATTATCAAACGAGATTGCGAACAAGCGCAACGACAACATACTACAAGTAATAATTAAAATTGTTATTTCATTTATTATTACAAAATGAATTTAATATTCATAAAATTTTTTTCTCAGTAGACCGAGAAAAAAATATATATTTATGTTGTAAGATGTATAATATATATACACATATATATTTGAATTACATTTTACAATTTGCAAATGTAAGATAATTTAAAAATGTTATGCAGATCTAACTTAAAGAAAACGAATAGATAAAAGTTATACAAAGAATGTATATTTTCCATAAAGGAAAGGACTCAATGAATCACATTATATTCTTGTTTTTAACAAGAATAAAATGATTCTTTGTGTTATACTGTATTATTATGCTGTATCATCTGTGTCTCTAACTGGGAAAACTTTCAGAATGTTTTGCACTATTTATATCACTTTTCGTTAATTACACAAGATGCAAAATATTCACGTCAGTTATAATTTTTATTCAGGATATATATTCCGTCAGGATTATTGAGCTTCCGTTTATCGATCTGGAACTGCAATTTTACGTTGCATAATTTTCGTGATATTAATAAACCTTGTATCGAGGCCTTGTACCTGAAAGGACGTGTTTTGCCAACATCCAATCATTTTCATTCCACGGAATCTAAAATTCTTACCACAAACGCTAGTTATTCTTTCATAGAATCTTCTCCTTATGAAGATAGTTATTATTATTTATTAATTGTTTCGAGTAGCATTATAGAATTTAACATCAAGATTGATACAACAGGTAATTTAACTTTGATATATTTTATTCTCTTGCTGTATGCATGTGTATTTGGTCATAAGTATATATATATTCGCATGCCTGCATAACACAGTTCTCGGAGGGATGCTTTAGACTTCCTCTGCAGAACTATGGTGTGCGCGCGCGCTTCTCTCTCTCTCTCTCTCTCTCTCTCTGTGTGTGTGTGTGTGTGTGTGTGTATGCGTGCGTGCGCGTATGTATGCGTGCGTGCGCGTATGCTGCGTGCGTGCGCGTGTGCTGCGTGTGTGCGCATTCATATATTTGCATACGTGTACATATTGGCATAACTGGAAAATTAATAAATAGCATAATTAATAAAATTAAACTAATAGACTCGATATACAATTTTATATCTTTTATTGGAATATCTTTTTGCAAATTCTATAGATGAGCGAATTTTCGATAATTGGTATATTATTGAGAATAAACAAATTGCAACAATACGTGGGTCGTTTGATAAGTTTGGTAAATTTCCATGAAATGGCGCTACAATCCATTTGATGACGCGACATCTCGAAAGATCCACTCTTCGAACCCCTTCAAGCCAAATTTCAGCTAGAAAGGACGCATAGTTCATGTTTGGTAGTCATTTGAAGTAGGCTGTCTCAAACTCTGCAAAATACTCATTGACGGCGACAATGACTTCCTCATTTGACGAGAATTTCTTCCCACCGAGTCAAGTTTTTAAGTTTGGGAACAGAAAGAAATTATACGGGGCCAAATCCGGAAAATAGGTTGGATAAGGAATCAATTCATAGCCCAATTAGTTTTGTTTCATTGCAACGGTCGACTTGTGGGATGGCGTCTTGTTATCTTGATGGAAGAGCACTTTTTTGCGCGCCAATCTCGCTTCAAATGACTATCAAACGTGAACTATGCGTCTTTTCTGGCTGAAATTTGGTCTGAAGGAGTTCGAAGAGTGGATCTTTCGAGATGTCGCGTCATCAAATGGATTGTAGCGCCATTTCATGGAAATTTACCAAACTTATCAAACGACCCATGTATATCGAATTCAAATGTAGTTGTAACATTAAGTTATTATAATTGTTTTTATGTATAAATAAAAATATTAATTATACATACGCGCACGTACGTGTAAAAAGAATGTACAAATGTAATAAAAGAAATATATAAATAATTATTGTAGAGTGTCCAATCGGATTAACAGAAAAATCATTTACTAGAAAATACACGGACATAATTCCTTTAAGTTTTAATTCTATAACGGAAACAAGTACTTACAAAGAGTTAATAAAACACAGATGGTATAATGAAGAAATCAATGATAGCAAATTTTATAATAGAGATGAATTTTATCGAAAAAATGAGAAGCGAGATATTCAGTGTATACCAAGACATCGATTAGTTCGCGTTAAACATGCGGGAACATTTTCAACCGTTTATCTTCTGCAGGTGATATCTATCGTATTAAGATGAGTCGTGCATTTTTTTATTACGCTTTATAAAATAAAGATTGAAACATGATATATATATTTTTTAAATTGTTTATATGATAGCGACTAGTTGGTATTAACATTGCATCATTGAAATTTTTAGGGAAAAGAGTGGTTAAGTTCAAGACTAGTATTAACTGATTCAGTTCCGATGATGACGCAATTTGATATTTTACCATTGATAGATATCGGTGGAACACTTGATATCAATGTACATCTGGAAATAAAGAAGGTAAAAGTTTTAAGATGTTACATTTTTCAAACTTAATTAAGGTAGCTTTCTTCAATTTTATCTTTTTATATACATTATAAAGATAAAGAAAGGAACAGTTAGATTTGCGCATCTCAAGACCAAAAACTATTTCACTTATGGCATTAAAAATTTTAGTTGAAAAAAACGTTAATTTTTTTTTCCCTCTTCAAGTTTCTTACTCTTAGCATACGACCATAGGTGTCTCACATATAAAGCCCTAGACACACAATGCTAGACAATAGCGATAGGAATTGTATAGAAATAAATGATGTATAATAATTCCTCCATTTTAAAAATTCAACAGAATCAGATGTTTCTGATATTATTAAATAATTTCTGCGATTCTTCTCTCCATTTTCAATATTTTTATTCTTATTCTAATGACACAGAATAAATATTTTACGCGCGCAAAAAAATCGCAATTTTAATGTAAAACAAGTGAAACCGTACACATCATAGGCAACTCAACTAGCAAAAGCGCGAATGAAAGAACGATAAATGAAATTTATTGTGTAGACAAAATAAATATAAAGGAAATAAACATAAATAAAAATAAACATAAATAAACAAAACGAATTTAGAATATAGGATTGTATTGATAAATATCGATGCGATAAGAAGTTATTAAATTGTTTGAGTACTGTAAAAGAAATATTTATTAGTCAAGAATGACTAATAAGTATCATGCATTCTATGTAGCAAGGGAATAAAGGAAGGAGAGATGTTGTTTAATAATAGCAAGTTATGTTTCAGAATAGAGGAGCTAAACTTAAAATGGTTCGACATATTTGGGATCGAACATTGGATATATATACTTGTGTAATCCTTTTAGCTGTCATCAATGCGATCGGTTTTGGTAACAATGTGCATTCAACGAAATCGTATACCTACAATAGAAGATCGTTATTCTTGTCAAAATGGAACTTTGGCGATAAACTTGTCGTCATTAAGCAAACGTAACGCAAGTTTATTAGTAGCGTATCCACAACCTGGCACATGGTACATTATTATCCTTGCGACATGTTATAATTATGGGTAAGAGAAGATTCTTCATCTGAAAAAATTTAATATAATAGATGCAAGGAAAGATATGTAGGCTTATAATCGAATAATTGTGTAGGGGAGCTTTTGATACAAGATTCATCAAAGAATAAGTCGTGAATAAGAAGTAGTTTGGCTTAAAACAATGTAATATTTTGTGTCTGTTTAGTAAACCTGTGCGCTGTCAAATCGAAGAAATGTCAATACTATTGAACATACGCACCAAAAGGTGTATATTTTCTGACCAAAGTCCTTGTGGTAATCATGGCATTTGTCAAGAAATTCAAAAGAATATCCTTCACTATGCAACGTGCAATTGTTTCAAAGGTAATGTTATTTTAATATAATTTTTTTTATGCATCTCTTGTACAATTTTTAATTTTGTTATTAAATTACTATTAAAACATACTAATTAATCATTCAGCAATTAATAATTTCACAATTGAATTTTCAAGATAACTTTACTGACAATATATTTTTAATTTTTTACACATCATTATTGAATTCCTGTGTATCGGAAGGGTGTCTTAAATTTTCATCAGCGAGTTCCATATATATAACAAATTTTAATGTTATATTGTATTTTAACGTTATATTATAATTTTGATTTTGTATTGTATTTTTTATCACAATGCAATTATTTACTCTCGCACGCACACTTGTCCGTAGTTATATATTATATTTCATTGTTTGAATTACAATGAGATTTAATTGAATCGAATATTTTAATCATAATGCTAACAAATTATTCAATTCGCACAATTTTATAATTCCATATAAAGTATACGCGCATGCACACACACGAACAAAGCATTCCCCCATTTTGTGAAAACAATATTTATTATTTATTTATTTATTTCAATCCTTGGCTTCCAGTTTACATTCCATACAAAACATATATACATATATATTCATTCCACCATATTAAATAAACTTTAATAACTTCAAACGAATATAAAACTAACTATCTATTTTATGAATTCATTACCTTGTCCTACATTCTAGCTCATTATCGCAAATTAACATAATCTACATATACCCGCCAAGCCTAAAAGTTTGATTGCACCATCTGACTAACTGTGTGTATTAAAAATACTTGTACTGAATTAACCGCATTGATCGAATTCGCCTCTTCGTAAACTGTGATATATGTTGTAATTAGTCATAAAAAGTTCAGCTATTATATATAACATTTTCCTTCTTTTCTATTTCTCTTCTTTCTTTCGTTTCCTTCCTTGCCTTGTCTGTCCTCTTCATTGTTTCCAGATCTCTGCCTTCTTCCCCTATAAACTCTTCCATCCATAGTTCATTCTTTGTCGCTTCACATTCTTTTAATATATAGAGTACAGAAAGCAATATTTAGTTTCTCAAAAAGAGAATGAATTCATATTTGTGTTAAATATGAAATATATTATGATATACAAATAAAAATATGAAAGTGAAAAGCATAAAAATATTAATGTAATATATTTGCAATTAATTTAATATAATAATAAAAGAAAAATGATAAATGTTTCCCTTTACAACAGTCAGCCCCAAATGATCTCCAACTGACCTTGATTTGACCCTCAAAAAGATCAAGATCTTTTTGAAAGACATTGACCTTTTTCGTCACTTTTCTCGTTATTCATTAAAAAGTTGTGAACAGAACAATTTTTAGTCACTTCCGAGATGAAAGTTAAGCCGTGATTTTATTTTCTTTTTAATTTTATGGAACGTAAAGTGTGCACGATTCGAAATTGACTTATACAGAAATTATGTGAATAAGCTACAAGTTCTGTATATTTCTGTATATATTTCAATCATCCTAGGTTACACAGGATGGGATTGTACAGATATTTCAAATATCATTCCTACTATTTCTCTTATGAGCATCATACTGCTCATCACGAGCAATGTTTTTTTCGTACCAGCTATATACGTAGCCATAAAACGAAAGCTATACGCTGAAGGACTGGTGTATTTGGTTACGATGCTGTTTTCGTCTCTGTATCACGCTTGTGATGAAAATGGTCGATTTTGCATTACGAAGTATGAGGTATATGTTTTCGAATCTTTCTCTATTTTTAGCATCCTTGTAAGAGTAACTGTGCTCTAGTCTAGAAAAATAAAATTCTAATATGGTATTAAATTTCATTCAAAAATGAGAGAAAGTTCAATTATCTTTAATGAATAATTATAAAAAGAAGTTTATATCTCTCTTTCATGATATGTACACACATATTTTACAATCAAAAATGGATAAATTATTAAAATTTACATCTTCATATTTTCAATACATCATCTTTATGAGATAATGTACTTATTTGATACAGATCTTACAATACATGGATTTTTTTTCGAGTATTTTGGCATTTTGGATGACATTGATAGCAATGGCAGAATTACCAAACACTATTGTATCATTATGCCATATGACAGGAGTGTTCATCATCACTTTTGGAGTGCAGATAAACAGGATGTGTTTAATCAATATATTGATACCGCTGTCATTGGGTATTATTATACCGGTAATCTAGAATGATTTTCTTTCTTAATCTGATTAATAATCGGATGGTTCTGCATCAAAGAAAAAATGTTAATGAATGAATAATTAAGGATAAATAATCTTAAATATAAGTAAAGACAATTTTCTGTAATGAAATGTAGAAAACATGACCGAAATTTATGTAGAAATAACTGAATTGTTGCATCAAGGATTGATAAGAAAATAGCAATTTCTGTTATAGGTTTTCAGACATACCTATCGTACTTTTCAAGCCAGAAAATGCAAGAAACCAAATCGAAAAATACTACTAGGTTTGCTCTTTGCTATTACAGGTTTATTACTCTATTCTTTTATTGAAACGGAGAAAAATTATCAAGTATGTATGATATGTGTGCGTGCGTGCGTATAGTTTTTATGCGCACACAAACACGTATATATTTTATAAATTTTACTACCTCAAAGAATTGTGTATTATAAATAAACGTTTTTTTTTGTGAACATTTTGGAGGAATATTAAAAAAAAGCTCTATAATCTCCATATTGTCAACTAAATATCTCGCATTATATCGAATTTGAAGCAAAATAAAAATTTTTAAACTTTTAATTTCATAAATGGTAAAAGATTTTGAGAAGATGCATTTTTATTGTAGAATTTAAATTTTCTTTTATGAGCGTTGTGACTAAAACATTTTGTTATTAAATCATGAGTACATATTATCTTCTTTTAAGAGCCTTATTATTTCTTATTTATTTATTTTGTTGCAGTATGTACACAGTGTGTGGCACATTATCATGGCAATATCGTTAATATTCTTGTTACCACCGGCAAAATTAAAACAAACTACATCATCGATAAATGCTTCATTCGATGATGATAGTGAATCGTGGAATTGCAAAGAATTTTACGGGATCCCTACATTTACAATAATTGATCAGGAAAATGGAACAATCGCGTCAAATTGAATATATTTATCATAAAAATCAGTGTCCAAGTTTTCTTTTTCTTCTCTTTCTTCCCTCCCTCTCCTCCCCTTCTTCCGCCTCTCTCTTTATCTTTAATAATAATTATTATATACATATATACATTGTATACATATATATGTTATTTATATAATTTTGTGTGTGTGTGTGTGTGTGTGTGTGTGTGTGTGTTTTATAGAAATATAAAAGTACATTACGTATCCCCTCCTATATACTTACACACACATGAAATGTCTATTTTAAATAAATACTTTTTCAATATGTACGAATTATTGGTACATTTCTATATCTAGAACATTTTTATTCGACTATTACGTACTGAATTAACGTTATTGAATTAACTGAATTTCGTTATACAGAGGTGCCAAAAAGTTTACGGGTTGGTTATCGCCATGTCGTAATCCGTTATTAACGTTTTGTGAATCTTGCTGTTTAAAGAGTCTTTAATTTTTTGTGGTTAAACTAGTGTATAAGAGTTGTTTGAAAAGTTTTGAGCCTCATGTACGCGATGTAAGTCGAAACGTTCGTATGTATTGATAAAAGAAGATGAGAAGTCATGTAAAAAAATTACTTAAATATAAATATTATATATTAATATATACGCTAATGTCAACTGCGGTTGCTCTCAATTATCCTTATTTCGCACAATTAATTTTATTGAACTTGAGAGCCCGAAATGTTAAATTAAAACTTGATAATTGAAATATTATATTAAAGTTAACAGCTTTGAAAATTTAACTTAGTTAAGATACGTAAGTTAATTCATAATTAAATTAATTACATTAGAAGTTTTAAGTTAAAATTAAATCAACTTTTTAACTTAGCATTGCTCAACCTTAATTCTTATAGATATCTTATAGATATAATTTTTATTTCATCGCAATAGTAATATTAATAAGTCAAGAAGAAATTATTTTAATCTCAATACGGCTACTACTTAACACTTGAATTGACTTTATAAATCAGAAAATTAAAGAAAATTACAAATAAATTTAGTGGAAAGATATATCACGTTATTGTACGTGACTCAAGAATTCAAATTCACATCATAGTCATCCATAAGTACGATATGATTGTTTTCTTTTAGGTCGAAATAATATAAGTATGTAGCTTGTAAGTGCCTATATAACGTAAAATAACTTTTTATTGTATGTCAGACACGCAGACCATGATCAGGCTTGATCTTCTATATGTAATTCAACACCGGTTTAACTTGCTACTTCCTGTCTTATCTTCTGGCTGCCCCCCTCTGGGCCCATGTCTGGTCCGATCCTCCTTATTCTCTTACCAGCAAACGAGAATGGATTAAAATGGATTGAAATTTTTTTCTATTCGAATACGTATTTTAAATAGCAAATACTTTTTTTTTAGATTTAATTGGATTCAATTAGATTCAATTGGATTGAAAAACTGCATTTCCTATTCAAATTTTTGAATTGAATAGTATTCACAATATGTGTGCACAGAACACAATGTGTGCACAGAAAAAGCTAATATTATTTTTAGATTGAAAAACATAGAGATGTTCCAAGTAATTCCTATAAATAAATAAAAATGCATTCAGAATTGAAAAACTTCGTTTTAACATTCGTGAATCAATATTTCTGAAAATCTGAATCCATTCAATTCATTTCAATCCATTCTCATTTGCTGAGATAGGATGAACAAGCGTTTCAATGACGTGATTGTGATATGTATAAATATATATA